TGGGGGTGCTGAGCTGGGGGGGTCAGCAGGGTGGGTTTGGAGGTGCTGAGCTGGAGGCACACGGTGGGGTGGATTGGGGGGCATGCGGCAGTGTGGGTTTGGGGGTGCTGAGCTGGGGGGATCAGCAGGGCGGGTTTGGGGGTGCTGAGCTGGGGGGCACACGGCGCGTTTGGGGATGCCGGGCTGGAGGGCACAGGGCGGGTTTTGAGGGTGCCAGGCTGGGGTGAGTTTGGGGGTGCTGAGCCCAGGGCACGTGGTGGGTTCGGGAATGCCAGGTGGCAGAACGCGTTTGGGGGTGCTGAGCAGCCTGACAGGTTCCCCCTTCCCCCCTAGTCCATCCTGACGGTCAGCCTGTCCTACATGGTGGGGATGATCGCCAGCTTCTACGACACCGACGCCGTCATCATGGCCGTGGGCATCACCGTCGTCGTCTGCTTCACCGTCGTGATCTTCTCCCTGCAGGTCAGTGCCAGGGCTGCCCCTGGCTGGGGGGCTCTAAATTGGGGTTATAACCCCCCTGGTTCCTGGCTGGGGGGCTCTAAACTGGGGTTAGAACCCCCCTGGTTCCTGGCTGCGGGGCTCCAGACTGTGGGTATGACCCTCTTGGCTCCCAGCTGGGGGCTCCCAGTGGGGATTACAACCCCCCATCAACTCCCTGCTGGCTCTTGAGGGGCTCTGAATGGGGTGTATGACCCCCCCACTCAGCTTCCTGCTGGGTCTGAGGGCTCCAAACTGGGGTCTGACTTCTCTGCTGACCCCCCCTTCCCCACAGACCAAGTATGACTTCACCTCGTGCCGGGGCGTCCTCATCATCTGCCTCGTCGTGCTCATCCTCTTCTCCATTCTCTGCATCTTCATCCGGAACCGCATCGTGGACATCATCTACGCCTCGCTGGGGGCCCTGCTCTTCACCTGCGTGAGTTTGGGGGGCAGGACCCCCCATTCTGGGGGGGGCCAGTGCCACCAGGACCCCTGGGCACCCTGGTTTGGTGGGGACTCAGGATACGAGTTCAGCTGTGGGGACGGGGGGTGCAGGATGTGCTCAGGGGGTGCCTGGCTGGCTTGGGGGGGGATAACTGGGGGGCTGCTGGTGCCTCCCATCCCCGGGCTCCCTCTGACACCCCCTTTTCCCCAGTTCCTGGCGGTGGACACGCAGCTGATCCTGGGGAACAAGCAGCTGGCGCTGAGCCCCGAGGAGTACATCTTCGCCGCGCTCAACCTCTACACCGACATCATCAACATCTTTCTCTACATCCTCGCCATCATCGGCAGGGCCAAGGAGTAGCTCCCCCCGGCCCCTGCTGCCCCGTGCAGCCCCCCCGGGTTCGAGCCCCCCCTTCCCTGTAGCCGGTTTTGTTGCTGTTCTCATCGTGGCCCCGGTTCCTGCCCCACGGGGCTCGCTGGGACGGGGGGTTGTCACCAGGCCCCCCCCCAGTTCCCCGCTCTCCCCTGCTGTGAATATGATTCCCCCCCCCCTTGCCTCGTTGCATCGAACGTGGACTGGAAGCACTTTGAAGCCCCCTCCGTCCTGTCCTGCCCCCTCCCCACACGCTGCCCCCCTCCTTGTGCCCCCGTCACCCCTCCGGCCGCGCAGGCAGGGGCAGCGCCAGCAGCACTTCAGACCCCCCTTGAGCCACTGTCCCTGCCTGTCCCCACCCCCCCCAGACCCCCTGGACCACAGCCCTGCCCATGGCACCCCCCAGACCCCCCCCTTGAGCCCCCATCCC